TGTGAATTCCTCAGGGGGGGGGTATATCTTGTTTTTTCGCAACCATTGGAAACTAAATAGGGCCAAACACCCGAAAAACTTTTTCCTTGGTGTGCCGTAATTTTGGGGGGGAGCTTTTTTCCCCCTTTCCCATTTTCGGGGGGGAAAAAAAAAAAAAAAAAAACCGGTTTTTTTTTTTTAAAAGCCCCTTATGTTGTACCACCAACCTTTTCAAAGGGGAAAGCTTCCTGTTTTTAAACCCCCCCCCCCCCCCCCCCCCAACCTCTGAGGAATTCACTAAGCTCCTGGATCCAGCATCTGAGATCTAAATACGGTAATCAAGTGTTTATACGTTACTTATACACTTATGTTGCTCAGCTCGACATAACACTCTCTATCTGTGTTTAAGAGTCAACAACGCAATATCACTAACGATCAGAACATCGCTCGACCCAAGGAATGTGACAACGCACAATAATTGTCAATATCCATCCAAGGTTGAGAGAAAGTTTTTTAGAGAAAAAAAGAAACCTAACAAGAAAATGTCGACAAAGGTCTATAAAAAGAACAAAGGAAATACCGCGGAAATTGTCCTGAAAGTTGATGACGACTGCGAGAATTGGAAGGACGGTGGCCGGGGATGGATGATATGTTTTGCAGCTGCAATGGTGCAGTTTGTCGTCCTGGGTATTCACAACAGTTTTGGAATACTGTACATTGTGTTTGTCAAGGAATATGGATGGAGCAAAGCTTTAACTGGTAAGGGCTGAACTTTGATTAGCGCATGATTAACAAGGGATATCGTTAGGAGGTATTAAAATCAAGTTCATGTTATCTCCGCAGAAATATCCGTTTTGGGGTGTTCAGATTGTAGGGAGCGGCGCGATTTAGCGAGGGAAATCACGTGTTAGATTTTTCCCTGCCTGGGAAATGCATGACTCGCGGACGGTTAGGGCAGGCATACTATCAAAGACTCAAAATACTACGTTAGAATAGTATGCGTCAGGGGTGAAAGGTTTTTTAAAAATGGGTTTTGACGCAAAGAAGACAGGGAGAACTTTCTGTCTGGAGCCATTTATATTTCTTGCGAAAATGCTAAATGCTTTCGTGTGTGATTTCAGTCAAGCACCTTGGTTTCCTGTGGGTACTTCACAACAACATCGCTCGTCATCGTACAGATTATTCAAGTATAATTTCAATTTAGATTAAGTACGGTATAATTTGATAAGAGATACGTTTTCATACTCTAATGATTTAAAATGATTTAATCTAGCTTCATATGATCGTCACCCTACACTCGACATATAAGGCATAAGGTGTTAATCCCAAAAAAAGTTTGTTTTTGTCTGTGCGTGTGCCACTTAATCTTTTTCCCCCCCTACAAAACAAACAAAAGAAACATGTGAATGCAGCAAGAGGTCGCTGGCTATTCCAGTAAAATTTGACTTGATCGCGTCTTCGTGAGAGAAAAAAACAAGAATGGTTTAGGACGATCTACTACTATGATCTGAAGGCCTGGAACAAGAGCAAAACAACCCTGGTATTTCTCTATTTAGGACAATGTGCAAATTAAACTGATGTTTTCTATCAGAAAATGGCTTAGAACAAGCTCGCGTAAGGCCAATAAACCACATTCTGTCTAGCCGCAATCTCTATAAAGACGTCTTTCCGAGTATACTGTTGCTATACTCAGCTCGCGTGAGGTCTTGCGGCACACCTCCATGATCTCTGTTCAAATTTCCTAATCGAGCTTTGTGGGAACGTTTTGCCGGCGCATGGTTTTATCGTATCCTGCAAAATAAAATGAAATGAAAAGGCAGGAAACCAGGTGGAAAAAAACGACCAAAAGTGTGCATTTTTCAACATGAAAAAAAAAAAACAGTTATAACTCGAATGATAAAAATAAAAAGAGGCTTATTCCCCTGGGAATGAGCCAGGGCATTTAAGATTTCCGGTATGGATACTCAAAACGTGACTTTTTTCACAGCCTGCGAGGTTGCAAGGCGTTAAAGGGGAGGGGCCAGGGAGGGCCTAGCCTGCGAAGCGCAGACGCGAAGCGACGACCGGAAATGCGTCTGCGCTTCGCAGGCTAGGGAGGGCCAAAAAAAAGGGGAATTCGCCCCTCTCCCTCCCCTCCCGTTCGCCTTTTAATGCCGCCACTGACGCCTCTCTGGTCTCGCACACTTTTCATTTGTTGTTCCGGCAGAAGAAGGGTGGCAACTTAAATCTTTCACTTGCAAAAGTGATCGGCGTATAACTTCTCCTTACAATATTCAATTCATTGGCACACAGAAAGGTGATGACTGTAGGTAAATTTCTCAGCCAATGGATGCCATATTGATATAACCCCAAATTCTCTTAACTAATGCACAGTAAAATGTATGGCAGCGAGAAATGAGAATTACTGATCACATCGTAGGAGTCAAAGGCTTAAGCCTTCGAACCTCGCGCTAACTCGAACCATGCAACGTCGATTTCCCCTGGATTTCGTTCTTACATTTACTGTAGTTTTACCCTCGGTAACTCGAACCTCCCGCTAACTCGAAGTAATGTTTTTTTCCCTTCAGATCATTTCTATACAATCCTACCTGCCTGTTTACCTATATGGTGTTCTCCCCTCGACTAGACGTAAAGGTAATTTGTTTGTTTTTGTTCACGCAGGTTACATAGGGTCTATGGGACTGGGTATGAACTTCTTTTTCGGCCCCTTCACCAGCGCATTATGCGATCGTTACGGCTGCCGAGTGGTCGCCATGATCGGTGGGGTCATCTCCGTTGCAGCAATGTTCGCAACGTCTTTCGTCAACAGCCTCGTTCCCATTTACCTGACCTATAGCGTTCTCTGGGGAATGGGCTCCAGCATGAGCTATGTTCCAACATTCCTTATGGTCGATAGTTACTTTGAGCGGCGAAAGTCCTTGGCAAATGGGTTCATAACAGCTGGGAGCGCTATCGGGGCTCTGGTAATGGGACCCACTCTAAATGCACTCTTATCTAAAGTTGGTTGGAAGAACACCATGAGGTTCCTCGGGGGCGTTGCTTGTATTTTGGTGTTCGCTGCGTTTAGCTACAAACCACCGCCTGTGAAAAGAGAACCTGCGAAAAAGAAGAAACTGATAGACTTGTCTGTTTGGAAAAATAAAGGATTCATTGTCTGGGCGTTGGCACTCGGCATATTTAATCTGGGTTACTTTGTTCCTTACGTCTATTTGGTAAGTTTGAATTTCCTTCTGTCCTTCATAAAAAAACTTTTCTATTTATTGAAGACGCCCCCTTTATTGAGTCGTTAGGTTTTCTGTGATTTCGTGGGCAGTCTGTGCATATTTCTAAAGTGCTAGAAATCGAGAAAAGAGGTTGTCTGTTTATAGTTTAATTTTGCACGTCATATAATAACCTAATTAAAGAGAAGAAACTACAAGGGAAGAAAAATTCCTTCCTTTGTTCAATATTTCGCAGATTAATATATTTCTTTTCTATTTATTTCGTAGATCAAAGCCTGATCAGGAAAGTTTTGACTATTCTTATGCAACACAGCTAGTTGCGAAATTCTTTAAGGCGACGCACCACAATCTTTGATTACTACTAGTAGATAAGAGGATATAATAATAAACCGGAGTTAATAAAATACATCGTCCACTTGAAAGAGATTCAATATCTGCGACGTTTCTATCCATTGTTAACCTTCTTAAGGCTGAAAAAATTGCTACGAGTTGTCGTTGAAACGTAGTTGAAAAATTTTTGAATTTTAAATCCCTTTGTGGTGGCTAATTTACCCTTCCCTTTCTATTTAGCTGCATTTCCTGCGTTAAACAGGCTTGAACACATCTCTTCTTTCTAGGAGACGTCTTTTGTATTTGCCCGGTTGTCTAATATAATGCTTAGAAGGGTNGCAAATGGGTTCATAACAGCTGGGAGCGCTATCGGGGCTCTGGTAATGGGACCCACTCTAAATGCACTCTTATCTAAAGTTGGTTGGAAGAACACCATGAGGTTCCTCGGGGGCGTTGCTTGTATTTTGGTGTTCGCTGCGTTTAGCTACAAACCACCGCCTGTGAAAAGAGAACCTGCGAAAAAGAAGAAACTGATAGACTTGTCTGTTTGGAAAAATAAAGGATTCATTGTCTGGGCGTTGGCACTCGGCATATTTAATCTGGGTTACTTTGTTCCTTACGTCTATTTGGTAAGTTTGAATTTCCTTCTGTCCTTCATAAAAAAACTTTTCTATTTATTGAAGACGCCCCCTTTATTGAGTCGTTAGGTTTTCTGTGATTTCGTGGGCAGTCTGTGCATATTTCTAAAGTGCTAGAAATCGAGAAAAGAGGTTGTCTGTTTATAGTTTAATTTTGCACGTCATATAATAACCTAATTAAAGAGAAGAAACTACAAGGGAAGAAAAATTCCTTCCTTTGTTCAATATTTCGCAGATTAATATATTTCTTTTCTATTTATTTCGTAGATCAAAGCCTGATCAGGAAAGTTTTGACTATTCTTATGCAACACAGCTAGTTGCGAAATTCTTTAAGGCGACGCACCACAATCTTTGATTACTACTAGTAGATAAGAGGATATAATAATAAACCGGAGTTAATAAAATACATCGTCCACTTGAAAGAGATTCAATATCTGCGACGTTTCTATCCATTGTTAACCTTCTTAAGGCTGAAAAAATTGCTACGAGTTGTCGTTGAAACGTAGTTGAAAAATTTTTGAATTTTAAATCCCTTTGTGGTGGCTAATTTACCCTTCCCTTTCTATTTAGCTGCATTTCCTGCGTTAAACAGGCTTGAACACATCTCTTCTTTCTAGGAGACGTCTTTTGTATTTGCCCGGTTGTCTAATATAATGCTTAGAAGGGTTATTTGCTCTTTCAGTCAAGGGAAGCAAGGGATGGCGCAGTAGTGAGAGCGCTAGCCTCCCACCCCGGGTTCACTTCTGGCGTCGACGCCATTTGTGGGTTGAGTTTGTTGTTGGTTCTCTCCTTTGCTCCGAGAGGTTTTTCTCTGCGTACTCCGTTTTTCCCCTCTCGTCAAAAACCAACGTTTCAAAATTCCAATTCGACAATAAATCAGGTAGACGAAGAACCACTTTGTGGATGTGCTACCTCCAAATCATTTTTATTTATTTATAATTTATTTGTTTATCAACAGCCGACCCACGCAACCTACTTACAGATACCCGAATCCAAGGCATCGTTCCTCATCGGCTTTCTTTCGGTTGGTTCGTTATTTGGTCGACTCTTCTTCGGTCATATTTCGGATCTCCGATGGGTCAATCGTATGTATCTTTACCAGACAGCTCTGTTGGTGATGGCTGTTACGACGACTCTATGCCCGCTGGCCACCACGTACTACTGGCTGATTGTCTACACGCTCTTGTTTGGAATATTTGATGGAGCGTTTGTATCACTAATCGCTGTCCTCACCGGAGATGTTGTTGGTCATCATAGGCTGCCTTCAGCTCTAGGGTTTTTATACCTGGTATTCTCCGTTCCAATTATGACAGGCTCACTGATCGCAGGTATGATATCAAGCAACAAAATGGCAAACGGCTCACACAATAACTAGCCAGTGGCTGGTCACCCTCGCTGCCCTTTTTGTGTCGTCACGAGATGCTCCTCCCCCGGGGGGGGCACTTGGGTATTTTTTGGGTGGGTATGTGCCGCCCGGGACTCCAAATTGGCACCCCGTTCTAGAAAAATTTTCCCCTAAAATTGATACCCCGTTGTAGAAATGGGCCAATTTTTTATACCTCGTTCTAGAATTCGCCCTAAAACTGATACCCCGTTCTAGAAATGGGCCAATTTTTTGTACTCCGTTCTCGGGTGCAACAAGAGTACAACGGTTTGCTTGTTAACGCATTGAACCGTATTTTTAAAAGCAATCTGTCCTTGAATACTTTCAAATGGCTGCTTACAAAAGTGGAGCTTTCGTGCGTTCGAAATATTATACCCCGTTCTAGAAACCGCCTCTGAAATGGATACCCCGTTCTAAATCAGGAGCTTCAAAATCACGACCCCTTTGGGCGGCACATACCCGTATAGGTAATGTATGGGAGTACCCCCCCCCGGGGCTCCTCCCCAACAGGACGTTGCGTGACGAGACAAACACGGTTGCAGGGGAGACCAGCGAGTGGCATGACCGCCAACCTCGTTTCCAGAGCCCGCTATGCTTTTGACCAGCGACGCCATGGGGATCTTATGACAAAAGGGACCCAAGGGGACGAGGTTGCACGCCCGCCCAACTTACACACAGGGAACCCAGTGCAATTCATACCGGAAACTTAGCCTACGTGTAGCCGAACCCTCTCCCGACAACCTGTAGATATCCCCTTTCGAGAGATATTGTGTTTTGTATTTGTTGTTTTATCTCTTGAATAAAGTATTGTATTACTGTATTATCTAACTTGACTAATAAAATGGCGCTTCGTCACTTGAAAGTAGGCAAGGCAAAAGTAGAATAAATCTTGTTTTTACAGCTGTTAAAAAGTGTTTGATACCATTTTCTGATTATTATTCTTAAGTTCTTCACTGCGACACCAACATTATTTTGTTTTCTCAGGCTTCCTAAGTGACATCACAAGTTCGTATAACGAGGCTTTCTACTTCTCTGGTGCCGCCATTGCTCTCTGTACAGGCCTGTTATCAGTTGTTCCGGTTTTAACGCCCATGAGATCACGTGGCGTCAAAGAGATGAAAATGACCTCTGATGAGCTCGGCAAAAAGCGAAGATTTTCGTTCTTTGAAAAATATGTGCAAAGATACTTAAGCTCTTCGGAGCCTGAGCCTTCTGAAGTTGAGGATTACTTGTTTGTCGTGGACAAAATCACAGCGGTGTGATCTTCCTAGCTATGAGAATATGATCATACGATGGTGAGAAGAATTAAACTGCGACAATGTACTGCACTGTAAGACAGTGAAAACGGCTTTCTATTACTAAGAACTTTAATATTGATGATGATAATATTGATAGTGATAAGCACGTTGAAAACAAGGACATAGAGAGAGAACCTGAAAAAATAGAATATTGCGAGGGAATCGTTATGTTTAGAGCACAAGGACAACAGTTTTTGCCATTTTCTGTCTTGCAGTCAAAACTTTGCANACGGCTTTCTATTACTAAGAACTTTAATATTGATGATGATAATATTGATAGTGATAAGCACGTTGAAAACAAGGACATAGAGAGAGAACCTGAAAAAATAGAATATTGCGAGGGAATCGTTATGTTTAGAGCACAAGGACAACAGTTTTTGCCATTTTCTGTCTTGCAGTCAAAACTTTGCAAAAGACCGCACTTTTTGAAATTGCCACATTTTGAGAAAAGTAGTTAAAATCAGTAACGTCCCGGCCAGGAGCCGGACTATAAACAAATGTTGAAACTTTTTTGCCTGGACAATGAATTCTGTTAAAAACAGGGAAAATAATAACCAAAATTCTATTAAGTTTTTCCAAAGAAGATTAAAACAAATCGTAAAAGACTGATAACAGGGGTAGATATAGCCCTTAAATATGTATGATCAGGGGCGTAAGTACTTCTATGCGCACGGTACGCACGTGCCTACCTGAAAAAGAAACGGGTGTAAAAAATATAATTGTATGACATAAAAAAATTATCTGAAAAAAAGTAAATAAATAAAAAGCATAATTTTCCTCAATCTTCATCTCACTCTGCTTGATCAGAGAATGCAACTGCAGTACCAAACCTAATCGGCGTTTTAACAGATCAGTTTATTGTTAGACATGTTTAAAGTACTTTGCCCACGGAAGATGGAAAATGTACTGCGTGTATTTGCGCGGCTCCTTTGACTGAAGAAACGACTGAAGGTAGACCAAGGTATGGTAACTATAAAGATGGGATAAGAGAGGATTCTAAGAAGGAGCGCCAAACTTACGCGAGTATCCCTGTGCGTGGCGTGTCGAGATCAACCCTGTTACAAAGAGGAACTTGATTAAGATTCAGCCATCTTGGCAGAAAGAGATAAGTCGATATTTTAAACCAAGAGGGAATGGGGAAAATTCACTTCGCCTTCATTTGCCTAGCCTGCGAGAGCATCCGTTTTTTTCGGCTCAAGTTTTTTAGTTTCACCCGCCGAAAAAACCAGAAACTTGAGCCGAAAAAATCGGATGCTCTCGCAAGCTACCATTTGCCGAACTTGTTGACTTCGCGCGTCAGGAGCGTTGTAAGACCCAGTCTCTGACGGAGACATCACGAGGCTCCTCAGCTGTTAGCGTCGTGGAGAAAGATCAAAGACGTTGAAGTGGAAACCAGCTGACTGTTTTGTAAAAAAAGTTGGCAAATTTAACGAGATGTCCACCACAAACATCGACAGATCTCTTGGTAAGTGTTATCGCCAGTATCTTGTTATCATTTTGCTGAGAAATGGGTCACCCTGGTTAATTTAGCGTCGCGTTTTCCCTGAAACGATTCTGCAACAAACGTACCGACTGATAGTAAACACCGCCAAGCGCTCAGCTGTTTCTTAGAATAATATTAATAGTATTATTTTCTTTCATGATTTTCGATCTTAAAGGTGTAGAAGATGTACTGAGGGAAGGTATATTCTATGCAGTTTTACTAGACTCAACTGTTATATGGCTGGAGCGCTATTCATTTTTAGCTAACCGATTGCGTGACTTGACAATTCACCTTTTCTAACAGTAACTTTTCCAACATTTCAACATTCTTCGCGTCTTGAGATTTTTGAGAAGCTTATGCATCCACACTCTTGTATAAGGAGAAAGGATTTTTTTTCTGGGAATAAAACTTACTTTCAATTGTACTTGTGCACGGGTCAGTTCAATAGAAATGATTAATTAATTGTGTTTACATTTAATTTTTCAAGAAATTTAGTTGTATTTTGTAAGCCATTTCTAGTGCGAAAGATTTTTTCATCTACCAAAATTTTCTCCTGTATCATATTTACCCTGCATGGGTGATTGATAAAGTTATCAATTTAGATTTCAGATTTAAAAGTGTTTCCAAACTTTAAAGATGCCTTCAAGAAGATTTGGAGATCTACAATTTTTTGTCAGGCAACGACGAAAATCCTTTGTTCCTCAATGACTATCCTTCCTCAGGTCATCTTATTTCACAAACATGACCAAGATGGTTCCTTTATTTTTCTTTTTTTGGTTACTTAGAAACTTTGGCCCGTCTCAGGTGCAAACATGGTTACAAAAACAAAAAATTGGTAACTATTGAATTTTTAAAGTTTTTGCAAACACCAAACTTTATTTTTTGTTGTAGTGTGTACAGGGTCATATGTAATGATTTAAGCAAATACTTATATTTTACCATAAATCCTCTATTAAACTCCTCTCTCAAGTAAGGCCCCCTCCCCCTCTCTAATAATATGCCCCCCCTTTTCAGGGAAAGAACTTAATAAGCCCCGCTCCCTTTTTAAGTTCTCCACCCCCCCATTATTGGTGAACTTATGCGACAGGATGGGAGAGGAAAGAAGATGCAAAAGCTTGTGGCATGACAATTACTTTGTTTAGAATAATTATTTTCCTGCAAACTTCACCTCCCTTTAAACAGATCTTTTTGTAAAATGCCAGAAAACATGAACAATAAGTGAAGATCACAACATAGCATGCAAGTAATAGCCTGGCACATTTGTCATGCACAAGCGTTTTGCTGTCCGCTTCTTTCTGTATTAGTGACAACTGTAAAACTTTGGGTGACTGATCTGGGATGGTTTTTTTTTACTACCAACTGGAAGTTTCGATTTGTTTTTGATCCTCGGTCGCACGACCTCCAACTTCTTGTACTTTAGCTTTTTCACTTTGTTTTCTAGTTCTTTATGGAGAACTGATACCATCGTCCAGTGGTTTCAAAACAAGCCGGTGACTGCTGGAGTTCCACTGGCTACTTATTGTTTGTCACCGGCTACTCTACATCCCCTAGCTTCAGGGGCCTTTTGCTTCTCGATTGTCATAGCTGCCTACTTTTCCAGAGTCGGCCAGCCACCCAACATTTTGAAACCCCTGATTGTCTTTGCTAAATTAAATAAGCCACTCACCTCTATTAACCTACCCAAATATGTTTGAAATAACCGGGTTCTTGATAGAGGATTTAAAGTATGTTTTACAATATTATTAGATGACATAATCAAAGAACAGAGAAAGCTGAAAAAGAAAGCACAAAAGGCCAAGACACAGCAGCAGCTGCCGAGAAAGGGAACTCAACAACGACAAGGCAAGAAACAAGTTAATCAGAAGCAAGGAAAACGTGTTGCTGTGAAACAGAACAATCGGCAGAGACAGCAAGGGTCAGGTCAAGGTGCTCAAGGAAGAAAAAGAGGATTATCTAGGAAACAGAACAACCAGTCTGCACAGCAGAGAAAAGGTGCACAGGTCAACCAGTCTGGTCCTAAGGGTATTAACAGAAGAAGGCAGAATGCTGGTGCCCCTAATAAGGGGACCGGAGGCCCCAAAGCTGCTGCTAACCGGCTAAGGAGCAAACAGGGAATAATCCAAAAGGTAATATTAGCCTACATGGGCAATTAACTTTATGTCTGAACAGTGTTTAAAGGATTTAAGATTTCTTTAAAACCTTCTCTTAAAGGCTGACAGATAAATAAAAAAATAATCTAACTGTTCATTGACTCCAAAAATAGAATCTCCAAGTGAGTCTTTTTGTAGAAGTAGAACATGATACATTTTTTGCATCAAATGGAAACTCAGACAAATCCAAGCCCCAGATACCTCAGATTTTTCCAAGTTTCCATTTGATGCAAAAAACGTATCATGTTCTAAATACAGAATCCTTTATATATTTATCCAACTGGAAAAAAACCGATCTCAGTCAGCAACTTACCTGTAATCGTTTTACTTAACACTTGCACTTTAAGCTTTGTATTGCTTACCATTGTGACCTTTCAAGAATCACCTAAAAATTCATTTACTGCTTTCTTGACCATTTGTTCTCCAATTCTTGTTTGGACTTTATAGAGGCTCTGCCAGGGTAAATTCCGACAAGCGGCATGGCCCAAAAAGTAGTGACAGTGCGTAAAATGAAATTGTGGCAAGAGACAACCTCCCTCAGCCAAATTGCGACAGTGACGGCAAAGCCGACAATAAGCGACAAGCATTTATAAACACCAACACAAGACATTTTGAAATTCAGACAGACGACATGGGACCCCCACCCCCCCCCCCCCCCCGCCCCCGTCCCCACTGTTAAGCCACAAAACACAATTATAAATTTTTTAAACAAACCATATTTGTTTAAATAATAACATAAAAAAAAAAATTCAAACACACAAAAAACAAACACAGAGAAAAAAAAATTGGGGAAAAGCACACCCCCCACACCACAAATGCAAAAAAGGCAGAAAAAAGAAAAAAAACGAGACACAAGTAAAAAACACCACCCCCAACAGATTTGAAAAGCAGCGCGAAAAAAAGGGGCCCCCCCCCCCCCCCCTGGCAGGGCCTCTTTATAAGTGTTAAGCGCAAAAATATTATTATCAATCTTTAACACTGAGCATTTTTCATACAATCACAGGGTAAAAGAATTCTTTCCAAAGCGAAACAGGTTCAACTCAACAGACGACCACTAAACAGACAGAACAGGCAAACACAACAGAAAGATGCCAGGCTGAATATTTTAAACAAGAGAAGAGGATTACAGGTATGACTTAAGTGAACTTTGAAGCAAAATAAGGTGTTTTGTTCACTTGTCAGGTCAGCAGGTTAACGGCAAACTCTGAAATTTAAAGGCCAGCTTACAATAATTATGGCCAATCATCATAATGATCACAAGCGGTGAACCGTGATACACAGAAACACAAAATGGATAGAAAAGAAAAAAAGCATAAACTATCATGATTGACAGCAACAAAGAATGCAAATGTCAAATGGGGATCATTGTTGAAGATAACAATAATCTTTTCTCAAATTAAACCAGAATTTCGATGTCTCCAAAGAATAATTAGGGACAGGAAACTAAGGAAATTTTGAGTCAAACTGGGTTAGACCACAACATTTTGCTTTGTCGTCATAGCTGTATGTCTTTTTGGTGTGAATAAGAACTGGTAAATTGTTTTATTTTTTTAAAAAAATAACTTGTTATATTGAATTGTCCATAATCATAGGGGCCATTGAAAGAAAAAAGACCAAACAAGGCTCAAAATGCTGGTACCTCCAAACTCCAAAGAATAAACAGGTAATGGCTTTGTTTGGTGTCAGTAATAAGTTAAATATTGCTGGTTTGTTTTAATTTAAATATAAAAGCTAATAAATTATTATGTGCAAAACAAAAACCCATTTTTATTTGGTTTTTACAGGAGAGGAAATGCATCTCCTCAGCTTACTGTCTCCATAAACAATCCACGTGTAAGGTTGGTAGTTATTAAAATACACTGGTCTATGTAGGTCTTGAATGACAACCGATCCATTGTATTTGTAAGGCTTGTGACGGCCAATTTGAAGACCCATTATCTTTATGCAGGGTTGTCAAAAGTAGCCGGCTGCCGGTGAAAATCGCCACCTACTTGGTTAGTATCAGCCGGCTACTCTGCTTGGCATTTCTTTACAGATGCCTTTTTTTAAATTAATATATCCGTGGGCTGGCCGCTTACTTTGAAAACTCAGCTGTCTACTTCAAAACTTTCTGACAACCCTGTTATGGCCACCTTTTTAGGTTCAGTTGTTCATGGAATTACCACTATGTAGCAGTGGTATAAATAGGACATAAATAATCAAGAATGATTGACATTCTTAGGATAACAAGAGCACCACAGTGGGAACAAGTAACAAACCAACTTACAAATCAGAGCAGGAGTAGAAGATGGAGAGGAAACAAAGCATCTATTGATACAGGGGATCTGAGAATTTCAGTCCCAAATAATTTACACCAAGTAAGTTTGTTCAAAATTATTTGGCACAGAACATGGGTTGCCAACCAATGTTTGCAAACCTCCGAAGAGGTGCATTGAAAGTTAGAAGTATTTGGAAAGGGATGTGCCGCTGGAACCTTGGAACCTTTAGTTCACTAGATCTGGTTTGGCTGAATTTTGCCAGTCTAAACTAGACTAAATTCCCAAATTTAAAAAGTATCCTAGAATTGCTATTTTCCAGAAATTACTGAGATGGACTTTCTTTGATATTAAACTGAGTTGCATGTAAATTAAGATGTGGACCTTTTGCACTCTTGGTTAGCATCAGAGCCTAAATTTGCTGGTAAATTGTCTCCATAGATTTCTATAAATTTTTTCTCCATTGATGTGGCGTCAAAAAATGTTGAAAAGAAAAAGGCCTTACCGGTACTTCCGGTTGATGCGCTTCACTCAGTAAGACCTTTAGTTAAGCTTCCTAATAATATTAGTTAACCCATGTTGTGGTTTTACCTTCAGCCTCTGAAAACACTTTACGCTGCTGGTTTTAAATCCCATACAGAAGACTCAGCTTTTGGCAAGGTACGAACACAACGATTACATGTACTTAGCTGGATAAGCCTGGTGCCATTAATTAAGTTAGATGATGGTGGTAGAGGACAGAGGGTGGGGGCCTAGGAGATAAGGGGGCGGGAGAGATTCAAAAGGCAGGAGACGATAGGGAGAGGTGGGAGGGTAGGTAGTACGTGAAATAGCAGGGAATTATGCAATATTGAAAAGGGGCTAAAAAAAGACAGCCAAGAAAAAGGTGGTGGAAGCTGATCGTAAAAAGTATGGAAAAAGGACATGTGGAAACCCCTGTCCCCCCTCCTTTCCCCTATGATAAGATAAGTCTATAAAAGAAATTTGTGGTGCTCTGAAATTAAAATGACTTCACAAATTATCCTTCCCCTCCACATTAAAAAAATAATAATAATATAGTGATAGTCTGTTGACAGGTTTTTTTTAGACTTAAAAATATAAGAAAGTGCCCCATAATCAAACTAATGGAAAAAGTCCCAAATTTTGTATTGTTACACGTGTAAGCATGTTTTCAGACTGAGATAGCGTTTTTATTCAGATGATTGCATCAATAAAATCATTTCATTCACAGAGTCAAAAGTTAGAATCACAAGCTCAGTTGCTATAAAACCAGGCATAATCTTCATGAAGAATACCATTAACTAGTCTTGCCTAATTGACAAAAAAAATTATGAAGAAATTTGCTATACATTGTTTTTTATTTCTCTCTTGTTGTTGTTTTTTTTTTGTCTTTTTTTGCAGACGTTTGCTACACTTGATGAAAGGTTCTCGAGCATACCACAAACCCGTCGAGTTGGAACAATATTCATTGATTAAGTCTTTCACTTACAGTAGTAATGTTGGTCAGTTAAAAAAAAAAAACAGAAAATACCAATCAAACCACATTATTAGAAAAGTGAAAAAAATGAAGGAGTCTGTTAAGTACTCATAGGCTATCTATTTAGGAGTTATTAACACTGTATGTGAAAAAAAAACTGTACCAAAGAGAGGTGAACCTACTGCTCAACAACTGCTCGGCAGCTTTCATTATTTTGTAATTAGTTGTCACACCTCAGGATTTCATCTGTGAAGCCAACATTTAAAACCACTCTATGTAGTTTGGGGAGTAAAGCCCTTTACCAAATGGTTGAAATTGTTAAGTTATTTTATGTTTAAAACAATTTTAATTGAATTTAATATTTTATGATCAAACAGGTAATTTTAATGAACATTAAAATAGCCAGTAAAAACATATTGAGTCGAGTGTATTGTTCCTGGGCATTTTAAGACTGTTGTTACTGGGCCATTGTAGCTAAATCAGAAATAAAACACAAACAGGGGTGATCTGCTTGATTATAAATGCATACATTTTTAAAACAACTTGACGTTTTGTATGCTAGTCAACATATATACATTTACAAAAGTGATATCAGTACATTTTTGGCACTTAAGCCTGTAACAAAGCTGAATTCCACAGGGGCAAGAAATAACATCCAAGTCTGGGGCCCTCTTGGTTCTGAGTGCTTTTCTCGTTGAAAAGAGTCTCTCCTCTCGATTTTCAGCAGTTTAACCATTTCAAGTATTAAAATAAGTGTTTATGCACACGTTTGCTAGCTCTCAAGTGAAAAGGAAGAGCTTTTTAGAAAAAGTGAACTCCAGATGTTTTTGTTGATTTCCGGAGGCCTTATTGGTGGACCAAAACTGTACACCAATATGGCGTTTCCTTGCAAAGCTCTACAAAGGTGCATGAAACGTTTCGGCAAATAACTCAGAAACTGTGGGCCACAAAGACCTGCGATTTGGACAAATTTTTTAAACAGTAGTCTTTTATAACATTTCATTTTCTTCCACCGGACAGTTTCCAATTTATTTTTTTGTGCCGTGTTTATTCATAGGCGTACGGGCCGGGGGGGCGAGGGGGGCTTCAGCCCCCCCAAATTTTGGGCAACTCAGATTTTTTGGGCAGCGAGAGAAAATTTGGGCAAAGCCAGTTTTTAAAGACGTCTCCATGTTTATTTAATTATTTTAAAGACCTGAATATTAACCTGAAGTCGGCGTAATAATCCAGTTACATTACAGTGGTTGCCTAGCATGTGATGAGTAATTTACATATTTGTAGGTTTTTTTTGTTATAGTATACTGCACTGCACTAGCTGGAATGGGCTATTTCCAGTAGTGAATTGATTAAAATAAACTTTCGCATAACTTTCCAGAATCATCTCTACTCGAAGAACAGAGTATGGCAGATAACATTTAGCAATGGGTATGAAAATGAAGAAGTGGCTGACTAATTCTCAGTTTGAATTACGAGAAGGTTTACGGTTTAAAATTATTTGCTAATTTGTTATAGTAGACCGAAATATTTACAAAACCGCTAACAACAGTGTCTCGATACATACTAATCCAATCCTTCCTTCGATTCTAGCAATCAAGCAGAGCTATCTGCACGATGTTTCACACATGTTTTTAAGAAGATTAAAACTACTATGAGGTGAAATTGTAGGTCAAAAACGCTTCGTTTTCTGCAGATAACGGCCAAAAATCAAGATTTTCCTGTTCTTACCGTATTTCTAGTAATAAAAACTTCATTCCAAAATATCTCGATAACGCTCTTAAGGTTTTTCTTAAACTTCACGAACATCGAGGCGACATATTGGAGAAAAAAGCTCCTGTGAACGATTTTGTAAGGTTCCCGTGCAGGGAATCATTGCTGAAGTGAAATAGGTAATGGGCGGGGGGGAGTCATTTCCTTGCTATGACAACTCCGATGTCATTGCAACCCTGATGATGACAAATTTTCCCCTTAATACAACTGTGGTCGCAATTTTTCCAAATGCTTGTTTATGGCGACGTAGTTTATGCTCAGACTTGGTATTGACCCTGAAAAACCGTATCGAGCCACCTTCATATGCCAGGACGGCCTATGTTTGTTGCAATATGGCCCTAATTTCTTTTCGACTCTTTCGTAAAAATTTGGGCAACTTGCGAGATTTTTTTGGGCAAATGGTTTACCGCCCCCCTTGCAAAAAATTTCCCGTACGCCTATGTGGTTATTACGTGACAGTGAAAAAGAAGAATTCCTATTTTGTGAATAGCGAGGGTATTATATTTTCATTTATGTTCACACGTTACCACCTCATTTGAATGCTGAACATGTGATCATCACAACAATCAACCTGGTCTCCATGCCTTTTTCATTGGTTGCTCAATACACCACATTTCATCTGTTTGTTTAGGAAAAACCTCAAAATAAATTGTCCTCTTTTGATGTAGAATATCACCTTCTCCAACCTCGTTCTTAGGTTCTCTCTCCTATCCATCTCTCTCGCTCCATAGACGGGTGGGAGAGAACCCTTGGAACGAGGTTGGAGACTCCGATGTCTTTTAGGGCGACGGAGAAAATCTTGAGGACAACGAGAGGCAGCCCTTTCCTCCCCTTCGCGTGTTCCGCGCCACGCCCCGCCTTTAAATAAAATATGACCCGCGCCTGTTACCCAGGCTAGAGCTGTTGTGCATGATGTAGTGTTGACTTTTGGATCATGAAATTTCTCGATCTTCCTTCTCGAGAGTTATTAAGTAAGGAAATTGTAATAATTTTAGGGCAATAATTACGATGCATGTCTTACGGCTCGGGCTTGGGCGTGGTTCATGATTCATCTTGGGCCATGGGAACGAGTATGTCCCAAGACTAGACCCAATCCCTATCGCGTTCCCTTAGCAACATGGAGGACGTCCCAAGTTCGACTGCTCATTTACTTGCTATGAAACGTAGCTTTTTCCTGCACAAAGATAACTCAACAATGACAAGAAGATAGTTTCCTTTGGTGATTGTTTCCAGCTGTCGTCAAAGATGGCCATGGAAAAGCTTGCAGTGATCAAAGACACCCATAATAAGGGAATAACTGCGCTCTCCTACAACCCCATGAAACATGAGATTCTTGTGGGTTTTGAAGGTAAGTGAGAGTTTATTTAAGCTTTTTTAACCTTAGTTGAGATTGTAGAGGGAAATATTCACGAGTGATATAGATTAAAGAAGCCGAATGCCGATGTTTGTACTAGTTTTGGGATCGCCCCCTAAATGAAAAGTAGATTGGATAATCTATAAAATTGCAATTGGTAAATTTGGCGGGCTATTAGAAAATAGTGATTAATCCTTATTAAGCTTTCTCTAGATGGTGCCATGGAGAAGTCAGTAAAAAGTTTTAGTTGAGGGTCACAACAAAAACAATGAAGTAATGCATTAGCCTCCCACGCAGACATTCTTAGGGTTTCGTCTCGCGTTCCTGCCCTACGAACGACGTGAATGCGTGACGAACCCCTAAGAACGTCTGCATGGGAGGCTAGTAATGCATCAGTCAATTCCAGCTGCACCCGGGCCCCCCCCGGGCTACTACAGGGCATTTGCCCGCCTCGTCAGTCCCGGGGGTGGGGTATTTGCAAATTTTGCGCTGCCAACCCCAAGCTTTTGACACACACACTGCGGCTGGGCGCAGCTGGAATTGACTGATGCATAATGCACTAGTCAATTGTAACCACGACCCCCAAACCCCAGGGGAATAGTGAGGAAATTTACAAAAGTATCCTTGTAATTTTACCCCAGGCTCTAGGGACTTAAAAAACGCTGATGCTTATTTATTATTTAATACTTGCACCTTAATTGTATTTTTAATATAAGCACATGCATGTCCGCTGTGATGGGATATACCCTTTGTAAATAATTATTATACGATTAGAATTAGAATTAGAACTCAGCTTGTTGTAAATTATTTCTTTTACAGATGGAGTGATCAAAGTGTGGGATTATTCCACAGGTGAAGCAGGAAAACTACTCCGCTCGGTTCGGGAGCATGATGGATGGGTTACCAGCTTCCTGTTTTGGTTAGTCATCACTCCAGCTGATCATCTAAGTCCAGCTTGTTTGTTCTTCTCCTGCACATTTTTTAAAACCCACGGATAAATGAAAATCACTATCTAGTGGATAAGTATTGGGAAACCAATATTGCATTTTCCACTGGATTTAATATCTGGTGCAAATTGCTTTTCTTTTGATATCTTGTGTGCAGTTTGCAGAGTTTTGAAGTAGAAACTCTAAATGGGGTAGGAACTTATTGATCAAACCCTTTTGTTCCAATAATTTCAAATAAAACTGTTTTGTGATTCTGTTTCTTTTCTTTTCCTGCCAACAGGGGAGATGCTAAACTTCTCTTTTCTGCTGCAAATGATGGAACTATTATCGCCTGGGGATCTGGTGGAGCAGTTTATGACAGGATTCCTGTAAGTAATTAACTTGCTTATTCCCCTGGATACATTAAGATATTGATGTTTGGGTACCTTAATATTGCACTGCATACTAATAGTATTTTGTTGTATTTTAGATTGGGTCTCCTGTGTATTGCATGGCGTGGAATGCAAGAAGAAATCAAATAGTCGCAGCTGTAGATTCAACTGTGCAGGTCTTTAATATGAGAGATCCAGGTGAGTTACATTTCATGCTATATGAGCATTTTTTATATTTGCTTTTTAGGTGCATTGACTGGCCTTATTGGTAGCAATAGTTTTACACATCCCTGAAAGTTCTTTTGTTATCTAGATCCAACAATCTCTCCCTACTATCAGCGGAGAAGGGTAGTAATTGTTTATCTCTGGTCTTGTTAGATCATGTTGAAGGTTGATTACATTGTATTCCATTACCAACTTGAGCTTTCATGAACCTTGCCTAGCAGGGTTGTCGCTAAGATTTCAAGTTGCCGGGTAAATACAACAAGTAGGCGGGGAGTCAAACAACTAGGGGTTTCTTTTGGTTCTAATTTTCTTCTATTTTCCAATAAAAGTAGCCGGAGGCCACACTCTTACTAGCCGGGGAAAATCCCCGGCTCCCGGCTCTTAATGACAGCCCTGCTACAAAAGAGTAACTAAACAGCACATTTTTTTAATATACACACTGTATGCCTGCTTTTTTTTTTAATCATGCACCCCACTCTGATAATAATACTCCAAAGGTAACCCAATTGACCCTTAAAGTCTATATCCCCTACGCTGCCACATCTCAGTTAACAGACAGCCCACATTTTTTTGTACAGATAAACCTTTTTGTTTAGGCTGTCACTGGTCCAAAATAATGGTGCCAATCTGTGTAAATACATGAAGTCATTATTGCTAATGTTACATCTTTTTTACTCTTTTTAAAATAATTTCAGGAAGAGAAATTGGACATGTAATAGACACAAAAGGTAAATATGTGTAGTTATAAGCCCTAATATCCAGATTCGAATTCTCCAAACTGATTTCAATACATCTCTTTTAAGAACTGGTTGAGAGAATTTGGCCAAAGATCACAGAATTTTTTCTTGGGTGATGACTGATCATTTTAATAATTAATTCTTAGTGCCTTTAATTTCTTCGTGATTGTGTATAAGTTATACTGTTCAGAGGAATTATGATGCTAGTCACATGTGGGACTAAAATGGTCAAGTATAGTGATGCTTGAAATTTTTGCAAGTTTAATGTTGACATGGAATTGTGAAAATGGTTGAACCAGTTAAGCAAGTAATGTCATGTTGGTCTGTAATACATGACTACCCACAGCAAGTTGAGAGTTTTTTGTTTTCTTTTTTTCAGCTTATGTTTCCAAAGAGCACTCTGATATTGTTAAGTGTGTTGTTTGCTATGAATCAAGAGTCTATAGTGGAGGGTAAGAAATTTTGGTCATGATTGTTCACGTGTATTGTCTAAAGCTGTTGTATGTAATTCTACGTTCTTTGCTGTCCATTACTATGGCGACATGCATTTAATATTAATACAATATTACCCTAAATTATTTGTCTCTAGGTATGATCAGAGGTTTATTGTGTATGACTCAACATTTTCCTACAAAGGAAACAAGAGCTTGTCCGTTGTAACAAAGTAAGTTTTTTGTTGTGATCTTTGTGCTTTATAGATAAAGTTCATTGTTGATGATGGAACATTTTTACAATACATATCTTTCTTTTTCACTTTTCAGAGTAACTAAGGCCCATGATGCTGGAATAATCTGCATGTGTCTGGCGCGAGACTCAGATAACAATACCTGGTTAGTACCTCCCTACAGTAAAACATTGTCTTGTTAGAAGTTTGCCTAATTTTATTAGATATGTTAAGGATTACAAGTTAATAAGTTTCATGCTCGTTATGATAGACATCACAAAGTGTCCCCCAGCAATGATCCTCACCTTAGAAGGCAAGCAATTTTGACTACATGAAGTCATATGGAAATTTAATAATGTTGAATATGAAGTACGTCAGTTCCACATATTCATGCATTGCTGGGCATTAGTGAACAGTGTCTGTACAAGGTGTAGTTGCTGTTGAGGCAAACTATGGAAAACCAATTTGTCGCTTGGATTTTATCCAATAAAGTTTACTTCGTATATTTTTGTAGGGTTTTATCTGGTGCATTTGACAAAGTTGTTAAGGTGTGGTCCCAAGATGGACAAGTGATGCACAAGTTTGATGGATTCAGGTTTGTAGCCTTTACCAGTGAGATACTCATGCCATCTTCTTGGAATCATATATTCCAAAATGAAGACAACATTATTTTTCTTTTATATGTTAATTGGCTCTGAATGCCTCAATTCCAGCTAGAAATTCTTTTGAATTCTGAAGATGTGATTGAGGCATCGAGGGCCAATTAACATTACAACAGCAGGCCATTGTCGTGGCTACTAAAGTGGAATAGTTTGCTTACCAGTAAGTATCAACATCTTTATGTTGTTTGTTACAGCACTGCAGTCACCGGAGTGTGTTACGTAAAACCCATCAAGACAATTTGGGTGGCCGCTGGAACTGAAGAGGCTGCCATGTATGATCCAAAATCTGGAGAGAATGTGAGTGTCTTGTACATTAAATAATGTTTTTTCGGAGCAATACAATGCTATAGATTAAGGATTAAAGTCAATACGATTAAGGTATGATCTAAGAAGTGGTCACATTTGAGTGTATACTTTTTATATGCCAACTTAATTGAGTCTGGAAGTAAAGTGGATGAACAAGTATTGTGTAAACCTAATATGGATATACTACAATACATGTAATATTACTGATCCAGGCCAATCATAATTAACTGTACAGCTATCACAGAAAAAAAAAATAATAGATTCCAATTTTTGGATATTTTAGGGTATTTAAAGAATACCCATAAAAATCCCAAATTCGGCAAAGTGAGACAAGTCCCAACCAGGGAATTCCCAACCAAGTTCCCTGATTGGGACTTGTCTCACTCTTCCAAATTTGGGATTTTTGTGGGTATTCTTTAAATACCCTAAAATATCCAAAAATGGGAATCTGTTATTTTTTCCTGTGTATATTTTTAGTACTCTTTTTCATTTAACTTCAAGGTGTATCTATCTTTTTGCCTTTAGGTAACAGATTTTATCGGAACATTTCAAGATGAAGAAAACAATGGGTGAGGAGTTGACATAATTATATGATCCATTTTTCAGTCAGATATTTTGTTATTGATTTATTTCAGCTTATGTGTTCAGACATTCTTTATTGTATCTCTCTCAGCTCTGCAGAGGGCTCCAGGGAGGTGAAAAACAGAAAGCACATGGGGTTCAAATATTGCTATTTTTATTGAGATACCCAGTGGGAGCCTCTGCATAGGAAAGACTATATTTTATGTCCTTTGATTATTCTTTCTAGGTTCCCACTGGTAATGTTTCACTACATTTCTGACCTGGGGCATGTCATAGGTATGTTGTTATAACATGTACCCTGATTTATATAGATCTAGCCAGGGCTAAAAGTGATACTCTCATTGATATCCTTAGTTTACTCAAACAAAATATAAAATTGTGCTATGCTAAGCAGCAACGGCAACAAAACAGCCAAAAAAATCAGTTGGTCTAATAAGCAAAAAAACAGCAATGCATGTGCAGCACACTTTTTATGTACATTTCTTTGCCATTGTTTTGCAATTTACCGTCGAAACGCACAGGTGCTTGAAATGCAAAATTTCACCCTGGCTTACATGAAGGGGTGGATGTACATACAGATGTATGGATGATTTACCAGTAACACCTACCCTTTCTTAGAACCAAAATTTCTTTGATGCATAGGTAACCAAATTTTCTTATGCATGCGGGTGAGCTCCGCTATAACTTAACCCTTTAATCCCCAATAAATTATCCACATACAAATTCTCCACACTGATCTCCATACATTTCCTTAAGAATTAGTTGGGAGAATTTATTTGAAGATCAAAGCATTTTCCCTTAGGTGATTATTTTATTAATTCTCATAAATGTTTCTTGTAATAATGTATTGATATTGTTAGGAGTAAATTGATGTTGGTCAGATCACTTTGCCTAAGTTGCATTTAGCCACATCTTAAGCCGTTTTAAAGTTTAAATCAGGGTTGTCACTAAGATTTCAAGTTGCCGGGTAAATACAACAAGTAGGCAGGGAATAAAACATCTTGGGATTTCTTTTGGTTCTATCTGTCAGCAATGTCTTCTATTTTCCTATGCAACTAGCTGGGGCCATGTTCAGAATACTGTAAGGTAATCCCCAGGTTAATGTCCAAGTCTGAGCATCTTTACCTACAACAATGAGCCAAAGAGCTAAAAAAAATCATGATTTGTCATTTTATTGTGTCATTTTGTGTTAGGTACAAATAGTAGGCGGCATCTGATCTTGTGGAAATACAACTCATCTGGCTGCTTAACAACATTGAAAAACAAGTGTGCCATGGAGTCTCTTACTTACAGTAAGTTTTTAATTCGTACCGTTTTATTTTGCACTACCTTGTGCAGTGTTATAAACATTACCACAGAAAAGTACTGATCATTAACTCTCATTTGAATGGTAACACTATAATATTTCATCCACAGAATCAAAAGTTAGAACCACCTTATGCAACATAATAAATAGTACCACAGGAAAGCACTGCTCAGTAGCTTTCATTTGAATGGTCACACTATAGGATTTCATCCACTGACTCAAAAGTTAGAAACACCTTGTACAGCATGAAAAGTAGCTATCATTTGAAGTCGCACTTAAGGATTTTTCAGGACGTCCAAACTACATTCTTTCCTGTTGTTTTTCCAGCTCGTAAAGTCCCCTTGTTGATCTTCAGTGGTGGAAGCAATGGTCATGTGTCAAAATGGGAAAGATTACAATCAAACAACTTCATGTACAGGTTACCAAAACGCATAGCAGTCTCACTTAAAATACCACAACACAATAATTATATAAAAAATTTATTAAAAACAACTTTCAAGTTCATAGTGTTAATTTATGGCTTTTGCATGAAGCCTGTTGGCTTTAAATTGGAGAGAAAACAAATAGGTTCTCCTTTGACTTTTTTTTACTTCCACAGTTCATAGTCTAGGTGAATTTATGATCTCATTTTCTTATAGAGACACGGCAGCCATATTGGTGTCCCAGACCATTCCTCTGGAAGTTGAACTCTTTTCTTATGCAAACCCTTTCTTTTGTTCCAATAAATTTGCATAGATGCTGGCCACGTGAGTGAAAACACTGTATTTTATTCATTTTGGGTTTTCTTTGCTTACTTCTAGCAAAGAGATATTTTTGCAAAGCGAGGCCAAATCACGGCTGACTGCACAGATAGCTGCAAAGTACGACTGGCATGGACCAAAGAGGATTCTGGGTAATGAGAGCAGACCCAAGCCATCCTTTCTGAATACTGTCAACCAGGTAAAGAACACAAATACTCCAGCGTATTATCACTACTTTTCATGTTTTCTTAGCATTATTTTTAATAGGTCATGTTTGAAATAAACGGCACAACAGGAGAGCGTTACTTATGACCTTATTGCTGGCAGTTGCAGAAACTTGGATTTGAAACTTGTGTTCAACGGCGTTTTCCCAAAACGTTTCAGCAAAGTTTTCACCCTGTAGCAGAACAGTTTCAGTGCCTTGTGATTGACTCAAAAGTCTCACGGCACATTCTTAACCAATCAAAATCAGTGATTTGCTGACGTGTTTTCCTGCGCTTACGACGAGCGCTGATTGATTTATTTAATTTGCAGTGCGTATTGTGACTAGATAAAGATTAAAGAAATCTCCATGGTTGTGGTTTTTATTATATTTACAATTAAGTAGTCGTTCATTACTCTAGAAATAGCAAGCTAAGAAAATTAGGAGTATCCCAGTTCTGCCATTTTCTTCCTTTCTGTTTTTATCTATAGTTATCATCTGCCTCTGAACACACCAGCAACATTTCTCTGCTGAGGTCCATCTTTGTGGAGAACCTTGATTTACTAGTGGTCGCCTCAGAAGACAATAATATCTGTAAGTAATCACAATCAAGACAAATTAACCTCTTCAGAACGTAGAGTTCAAAAGCGTCGAGGAAATAAACGTTTATCGTTTACTTGAAATCACAGAGACATGGAACAGCTGTGTGAACTTTTGTACCTCTCTTGGTTTTAGAGAAGCATCAACCGTCGATGTTGGGAGGCTACATGTTCTTGCGCATGCCTAAACTCTTCCCTTTCCTGTCCCAGTTTGCCACACATGCTAAAATCAGCTTTCACTGAATGGTGCTAGATTCCCTCAGTTACCGTTAGAGCGCTTATTTGCAACGAGATTTTGTGGTTTTGATCCCTGGCCAGAGTCA